AGCAGATCTTAAGATTTTATCATATTTCACTACTGTTTAAATATAGACAGACATTGGCAACTGAGCATATGAATGAAATAGCAAGTACATAATGTAACGATCATACGTACATAATAGAGATCATGACTCATAACTGCAAGCACTACGCCGAGCATCACGCGTACATAATAGATGACACAACGTACAGTAATAGATGACATACGACAGTAATAAGATCATGACGGAATAACAAGATAGACCGTACAATAAAGAGATCATACGTACATACCACAGTGACCTGCGAATACGTACATAGATAGAGAATCATGACTACACTAAGAAGATCATAACGTACAGTTTGCGTCGTCCGCACTACACACGCTCACACCACACACGTCACACACACGCGCTCACACACACACGTTGCGACACACGCACACATGTTCTGCATCTACACGCGTTCACGCACACCACGCGGCTCACGCACACACGCGCTCACGCAGCCCCACGCCGCACACACGCGCTCCCCTCACCACGTCACACATACGCGCTCACCGCACCGCAGGTCGCAACACGGCGCTCACGCAACACGCCGCACACCACCGCCTCAGCCACAAACGGACACACACTCACACACACGCTCGTTCAACGCACACACGTCACACATCACGCGCTCTCGCCCACACACGTCGCACTACGCACTACATGTCGCATCCACGCCCGCTACACACACGTCGCATACACGCGAATCACGCAAACACGGCGCTCAGAACACATGCGTATCCACGCCACACACCGGCGCTCAACGCACACACGGGCACACACACGCCTCAAGCACACGTCGCGCCACACGCACAACGACGTCGCGCACAACGCCCGCTCACGCCCACGCAGATAAAAAAAATCGTGAGCCCACGCTTTAGGCTCTTTTTTGGCCCCCCCCCCCAATTCCAAAACTGCTTCCGGCGCGCCTGAGCCTAACCCTATATTACATGAGTTTTATTTCTTAAACAAGTCCCCTTCCTTCTTAGGAAGTTGTTCAGCCTATGTACGTTCCTAGATAAAGTACATGAGCGTGCAGGTTGCTTGTCGCTTCAGCCACCCAATTAAGACAATTAAGGCTTTTTGACTGATCTAATTTCACATTAAAAAAGGCAAAGGCACAGCCGAAGGAGAGTTGCACGATAAAGGCGTTAGGCCGACAAACTATGGTGGCCCAGTGTTATAATAGTTTATCACAAGTCTTCGACGTGGCCCACTGTTATAATACATAAACATAACCATATACCATACACACGTCCATAGACCATATACCATAGACCATATACACGTCGAAGAATTGTGATAAACTATTACAACACTGGGCCACCATAGCCGACCTCATAATTTTACTTCACACCGCTAAATTAAATAAAATATTTGCGAAATTTGATTTGAAATAGATGGCTCATACTCAAGAGTAATTTTGTTAAGTAAAATCGGGATCCTTTCACCGTCGAGTATAGTTATATCCTTTCATCGTCCCGCTTCCCCGCAACGCTGAAACTTAATATATAGTATATATAGTAATATAATAGTAGTAGTGTAATATATAGTTTTCCTTTCGTGTGACCTAATTACTGTATCTCGTTACGCGCGTGTGTTATGACTATAATATTACCAGGAGTGTATCAAAATGATTTTTTGATACACTCCTGATATTACACATGAAAATAATTGATCAACTGAATTAGTGTGTTAGATCATATATACCATGAGTATATAATATCAAAAAGAGATCATTTGAGATGACGCGGTAAACTGAGATGCCTATATGTACACTATGTACGTTACAATGTTCAGTGTAGCTAGTTTAGTGAACAGATTAACCTGGGTAGCTTTTCTAAGCTGTGTGACAAGTAGATCTACCAGTGTAGCACCGGTGTAGCGGGAGCGAAGATAGAGAGCTGTGTGAGTGGGACCTATTCGTAATGCTGTAGCTTCATCAGTTGTATCGATCCTGAATCCGTTTAGAGACCGTATTATCCGAACCCGGAACGCCGGTTCACCGATGGTTCGTTATAACTTCGTTTCAGCATGGATCCGAGAAGTCGGTTACAGACCGAAATATTACAACACGGAACAGCGAGTGTGCGACAGTTTCGCCAGAGTCCGGGAGTTTATTTAGAATACAACAAAACGTTAAGATACAACAAATACAAGACGACAGCAATGACGACGCAATAATACAATTACAATGATCACTATGAAAAAAATATACCTACGGATAAGTTAATTCTGTCTTTTTGATTGTATCTCGGTGGCGAGGATGGGGGATCGGTGTGTCAGCTAAAACCTGTCAGACAATTTATAGCACACACACACACACACACACACACACACACATACACACACACACACACACACACACACACACACACACAAACACACACACACACTACAGTATATTGTGCGTGTTATACGCGCGCATTCTATATATTTATATATATATATTTTATATTTATATATATGTATGGAGTGTGTGTGTGTGTGTGTGTTGTGTTGTGTGTGTGTGTGTGTGTGTGTGTGTATGATATGCAGGGGTGTACGGATTTGTACCAGGGGGGGGTCTAATCGTACAACTTGCGAGCCGCGAATGGGGGGGTCTTGCGAGAGGCCTCCCCAAGAAAATTTGATTAGACCCCTTAAGGATGCTGTTTCTTGGCAGCGAAGCAGGGTGGGGGAGGGGTCCGGACCCCTTGGACCCCCCCTGTACGTTCCCTGGTAATGTGTGTGTGTGTGTTGTGGTGATCTGGTTTGTTGTGTGTGATGTGTGTGTGTGTGTGGGTGTGTGTGTGTTGTGTTGCTGTGTGTGTGTGTGTGTGTGTGGTGTGTGTGGTGTGTTGTGTATGTGTGCGTGTGGAGTCTGTGTGATTAATGTGCGTCGCTGACCGTGTGCGCGTGCTAGGATGCCACTGTAGCGTTGAGTACACCAGATTGATGAAATAATTTAGTAGTAAAATATATACAAGACGAAGGCATAATTTTGTGTTCACTAATTAATATCATTGTTTAACATAATACAGGTCTCTACACGGTACACGCTTTTGGAATGCCAGAACTCAACCCGTACTCTGCTTCAATTTTCTATAGTTAATGCATATCGCCACCCAAATAATAGTCATTCCAATTCTCTTCGACCAGATCACACTACAACTGCCTAACGCGTTGTCTACGTCAACACGAAATAACCCACAGTCTAACATCGGGCCGTTGGGTCAGAAACATAAATTATCTTAACATTATGTCTGTAACATTTTTTCTGTTAGGACCGTTTACGACACGCTAGCGAAGTTTCGAGAATTTAAAATGCGTAGCGAGATTTCCTCATAACAATACTGAAACAAAAGTGATGTCGACAGGTCTAGAGGAAATTTGTTAATGTTAGAGACTAATGTTAAGGACTAATTTTAGTTTTGACAACGGGCCATGATCTGCACCCGTTCTAGGATAATATTCTAGTACACGCTATAATCGCCAACGCTATACTATTTATAACCTACATGCTAACTAATGCACCTAACCCACCAGGCTAATTACAGCAATCTAGCTACACTTATATTTATGTAAAACATATCCTGTAAAACACATGTTACATTATCTCCCTTCCCAAGCGTTGACCGATCATCGATTCAGCGTCCCATAATCTAAGATTTCCTCTTTTAAATAATTAATACCACACATTATCTTACACACCCACATCCAAACACAACACACACACACACACACACACACACACACACACACACACACACACACACACACACACACACACACACACACACACACACACACAAACAAACACACACCCGCTACCTCTTCCTGCCGAATAGAGACCGACATTAAATAAAGTTCCACGTACCGTCTACCATACTAATACAATAACCCTTTCACTGAACATATCCCCCCTCCCCACATAATAATAATTTTTTTTTACAAGACTTCGCACTGACCACGATTAGTACAATACCTATGGCTTACACTGCCCACCGACAAATCTCACTGACCAGTCTTATATTATTTCAATACTTGACACGAATTGCCAAGTAAAACTATCTGCTCAAACAAGACAAATTTCCTGAAACCAATACAATAGTCTTGTTTCCCTCGACGATGTTACGATGTTACGATGTCCTCCAACTGGTCTTGATGTTGATCCTCTGCGCTGCTGCTTCTGATGCTGATGCAATGATTGATTGTAGAATGCAATGATGTGCTGTGGCATTTAGTTTTCTTCTATAACGTCGAATGGTTTATGCCAAAAGTTCCCCAGCACTGATAATCTGCTAGCACATTTGTCTTCGTGCTCACAGATATTGTTCTTACAAATTTGAAGGTCGTTGACTCTGCTGAATTTGCCCGTTAAATTCTCGCTGAAGTACTGCGTCGGTGAAGTCGTCGTAGAAGTAGTGAAGTCACTGAAGTGATGATTGCGGTAGTTTTTTTTCTCCTCCTTGCCAAAATGTTGTGCTGACTGCCGCATCGATGTCCTGCCGAAAGATATGTCCATCGATGTCCCGCCGAAATCTGTGCAGCGGAAAGATCCTAAAATGCATGCTCCTCTCTGCATGTCACTGCAACTGCAACAATTATAGAAAAACCCAACAGTAGCTCTCTCCTAACTGATATGACTCATGACC